AAAAAAAAAAAAACCGCAGGCACGGTGAAAATACGAGTCAACTCGGGTGACAAAATCCTCCTCCGGGTCATCAACGCCGCACTCAACCAGCAGCTCTTCTTCTCGGTTGCTGGCCACCGCCTGACCGTGGTATCCATCGACGCAGCCTACACGAAGCCCTCGAAATCGGACTTCATCATGTTGGGCCCTGGCCAAACTACGGACATTCTCCTCACGGCTGACCGAACTCCCGCCCGATACTATTTGGCTGCCCGAGCCTACGCCTCAGCCCCAAACGTCCCCTTCGACAACACAACCACAACCGCCATCCTCGAGTACTCGGGCGCGGGCCCCACGACCCGACGACCCGTCTTTCCCCATCTCCCCGCTTTCAATGACACGTCCTCCGCCACCGCATTCTCGACCAGGCTCCGTGGCGCCGCCGCGTCATCGACCCGGGTCGTCCCGACCCGGGTCGACGAGAGCCTCGTCTTCACCGTGGGGTTAGGGCTCGTGAACTGCACACCCGGGCCCACGTGCATGGGCCCGAACGGGACTCGGTTCGCAGCGAGCATGAACAACGTGTCGTTCGTGCTCCCGAACACGACTTCCCTGCTGCAGGCCTACTACGGAGGCGTGCAGGGGGTCTTCACGACAGACTTCCCGGGCAGGCCTCCCGTGGCTTTCGACTACACGGGGAAGAATAATGTGAGTCGGGGGCTTTGGCAGCCGAGTTTCGGGACGAGGCTGTACATGCTCGAGTATGGGTCAAGCGTGCAGGTCGTGTTGCAGGGCACGTCGATATTCGCGGTCGAGGACCACCCGATACATCTGCACGGCTACCATTTTTTTGTCGTGGGGCAGGGGTTCGGGAATTTCGACCCAAAAAGGGATACGGGTAGGTTCAACCTGAAGGACCCACCGGTTCGAAACACGATCGATGTCCCGGTTGGCGGGTGGGCCGTGATTCGTTTCGTGGCGGATAATCCAGGTGAAAAAAGATGCAATCTTTAAATTATGGGATTATTTTAGTTTCTTGATTTCAATACACTTTTTTTTTTTCTTTTTCTTTTCTTGGTTGTTGATTGTTGTGTGGTTAAATAAATGCAGGAGTTTGGTTGTTCCATTGCCATATAGATTCACATCTAACATGGGGATTGGGAATGGCATTCTTGGTTGAGAATGGTAAAGGGGAATCGGAGTCGATCGAGCCGCCTCCGGCAGACCTGCCACAGTGCTAACTGTCAAAGATCTTTTACTACGTTGTTAGCTGCAGATGATCAGCAGCCATGTTGAGAATTTTTATCATCAGTTTATGTTGTGTTTGGTGTCCTGATTGCTTAGGATTTATGTTGAGTCAGTTGTTTCAGTTATGATTTTGTAACTGAACTTGGCAGTATGAGAATTGTGTTTGTATCATCTTTGATATGTTTGTTTGGGTTTGTCCATTTGTACTTTCTCTTATTCCCTTTCCATCATTTTTTTGCTTTTGGTGTACTGCTGTTTTTATGATGAGTCAATACTCGAGACATGTGAAACAGACAAAAGTCCATCTCCTGCTTCTGACTTTTGATAATTCATTTATAAATATCCAGCTTCTTTTGATATTCATTTATAAATATCCAGTAATATAAATGCATAAAAAAAATATATCAAAAATAAATTTAAAGTTTGAGTCTGGATTTTTTTTTATAGAATTTGCTCTCATACTATCATCATAAATAAATACACCAATACAACATGGAAGAAAAATGAAAATTTATGAAAGAAAAATGAAAATCTGCTAGATGGCATGTTGCAACTTGCAGTGAAGACTATAACCGAAATCATTTGGGAGATCCGATGCTGATTGATTTGGGAGATTCGATGTTGATTGAATTGTACTATTGGTTAAATAATGAAATTAAAAATGTTTATATTTTATTTTTTATTCTGCAGACTGCTTGCTAGTAGAATTTGTATTTCACTTTTTAATTTCATCACAAAATAATATAGTTGTTTAAGTTAATTTATTTGATTTATATTTTTTATATGATGTAATGTGTTATTTATGAATTTATTTATAACATGTATATCTATGATAATAAATTCAATCCTATCGTTATAAAAATATTTGTAAAATATTCATATAAATAAATATACATTACAGATCTAAACATATTTCATATAAGGTAACAACTATATGTATTTGGCCTTTTAATAACTTAGTCATTGGGCTTAGCCCATTTGAGGTTATTTTATATATATTTGGGCCTGTGCTTGGTGATAAATTGTTGTATTCATTATCAGCCCAATAGGTTTAACTCTCCCTCATATAAAAAGGAGAATTAGGGTTGTACAGTTTAATTTTTCGTTTTTCCGAAATTCAGTTCTATGAAGCTTTCCATTTTTCTCTGGTTTGTATAGAACTTCATTCAATGAATCATTCATATTATCGTTCATATTATGGTATCAATCGATGAGTTTCACTCGATTATTTACTGATTTTCTTCCGCTGCTTCATCTCTTTTCTCGATCGTTGTTTTGGATTTGTAGATCTGGCTTTCGAAACCCTAGATCTGCGTTTTCAAAACCCTGCGATTTGAGTTTTTTGCTTGCGATTTGAGTTTTCATATCATTGTTGTCGATTTCTATGACTACTCATACTACTGCACCACCGACCGACGATCCGTCATCGCCGTTCTTCTTGCATCCCCGCGATAATCCAGAAGCACTCATTGTTGCAGAGATCTTCACGGGAGAAAACTATGTCTCCTGGTCTCGCGCGATTCTCATGGCTTTAAGTGTTAAAAATAAAGCAGGCTTCATCGATGGTATTGTTACTGTCCCTTCTCTCACTCAATCTCCTATTGAGTCTCTTGCATGGGTCAGGGCTAATAATCTGGTATTATCTTGGTTGCTTAACTCTGTGTCTAAAGAAATTCGTCAATCCTTGCTGTTTTTTACTGTGGCTAAAGATGTTTGGGATGAAATCAAATCTCGATATGCTTTGAGTAGTGGTCCTAGGGTTTTCCAACTTGAAAATCCCTTAGTTCTATGGACCAGGGCACTTTGTCTGTGACTCAATACTATAATGCTTTCAAATCTCTGTGGGATGAATACATTACTTATCGACCTGTTATTCGTTGTACTTGTGGTGCTTGCAATTCATGTACCTGCAATATTTTTGATGCCATGTCCACTGCTCAACAATCTGATTCTGTTATGAAATTTCTCATTGGGCTTAATGATTCTTTTTCATCTCTGAGAAGTCACTTTCTATTGACATCTCCTCTGCCTTCTTTATCCAAAGTATATTCACTGTTACTTCAAGAGGAGAGTCAACGCAATCTTCATATTCCAACCAAAACAGTTGATCACCTTGCTATGCTAGCCAAAACATCTCAGTCCCATAACAAATTTCAAATCCCTTCTTCTCAGTCCAAACCACAATCCTTTACCAAAGAGAAAAAGAAACTTAAATGTCAACATTGTGGCTTCAGTAACCATTCTTCTGAAAGATGCTATCAGGTCATTGGTTATCCCTCTAACTGGGTAGGTCCTAAGGGTCCTCGAGTTCATCCTTCTCATGTTGTAGCCAATGCTGTTTCCTCTACACTTCCAACCCAAACACCATCAACTGACAACCAGAATCCAAACATGACTTATGCTCTTTTTCATGAGTTCCTTGATTTTAAAAGATCTCAGGCTCTTAAACAAACCACAGTCCTACAATCCATCTTCTCATCTCCTGTGGTTGCCACTGTTTTTACTCCATCCTCTTCTGCAGGTAAATTGCATTTTTCATGTTCTGCACAATCTTCCTTGAATAATCATACATGGATTCTTGATACTGGTGTTACTGACCACATGGTCTGTGATTTATCTTTATTTACTTCTGCACCTAAATCTGTTTCAATTCAAGTTAATTTACCCAATGGACACCATACTTCTGCATGCCATGTGGGACAGATAAATCTGGGACCTAATCTTGTGCTGCAGGATGTATTGTTTGTTCCTACTTTTACTTTCAATCTCATTTCTGTTTCTAAGCTTACTTCTACAAATAATTGTGTTGTCAATTTTATGTCATCTTATTGCATATTACAGGACATCAAAACCAACAGAATGATTGGTTTTGCTGAAGCAAAGAATGGTCTATATCATCTGTCTTTACATTCTGATAACCATGTTGCACATATTTATGGAAACCCTGTATCACATATATCTGACAAACATGTTATACCTACATCTGCAAACCATGTATCCCATGTTACAAATACTCATGATAATTATGTGGCTCATGTATCTTCTAATGCTTCTGAACTTTGGCATGCCAGACTTGGACATTTGTCATATAATAAGCTTGCTACTCTGCCTATATCTGTAAATTGCAAGTCTCATCTGCATAGTCCCTGTGACATTTGTCATTTTAGCAGACAAAAGAGATTATCTTTTAATATCAGCACATCTATTGCATTTGCCGCTTTTGAACTTATTCATTGTGACCTCTGGGGTCCTTTCTCTGTACCATCTATTTCTGGTCACAAATATTTTCTTACCATTGTAGATGATTACAGCAGAACCACTTGGATTTATCCATTGCTTTTAAAATCAGATACTCACTATTATCTGCAACACTTCTATAACTTGATTATTACTCAATTCAACAAGAAAATCATGACCATTAGAACAGATAATGGCACTAAATTTTTATTGCATGATTTCTATCATTCTCATGGCATCATACATCAAACATCATGTGTTGAAACACCTCAGCAAAATGGTAGAGTTGAAAGGAAACATCAACATTTATTACAGGTAGCTAGGGCTATCATGTTTCATGCTCATTTGCCTTTACATTTCTGGATAGATTGCATTACTACTGCTGCACACATCATAAACAGAATCCCATCTCATGTTCTTCAAAATAAATCTCCTTTTGAACTTTTTTTTTCAAAAGAAACCTACCTATGATCATTTCAAAGTTATAGGATCTTTATGTTATGCATCTACTTTACAACAAGGTTGGACAAAATTTGACCCAAGAGTATCCAAATGCATAATGCTTGGTTATCCACTAGGTTGTAAAGGTTATATAGGCTTTACAACTTGGATACCAAGAAAATTATAATCTCCAGAAATGTCATATTTTATGAAAATGTCCTCCCATTTCAAAATCATTCTCTTACTGCTCCTCATGATCCTCATGTTCCTTCCTTAATGTTTCCCACCCCACCTGATTTCCCTCATGATCTTACACAGACAAACACAACCACACAGTCTTTGCCAACACTCTCAGATCCACCATCACCTAATAACTCCACACCATCATCTCCCACCATCTCTCCCAACACTTCTTCATCACCATCTACTTCAAATAACCCTTCACCCTAACAAACCATACCTGATGTTCCCAATACAAGAAGATCCTCCAGAAAAAGAACCATACCATCCTATCTCAATGTTTATAAGCACTCTCTTCCTTCAGCCACCAACCTTGTTTTGACTGAGGACTATGACAATATTTCTAGAACATCTCATAACATCATTCCATATCCAATTGAACATCATTTATCTACTACACAACTGTCATCCTCTCATGCATGTTTTACTGCATCCATCTCCACTCTGACTGAACCCAAAACCTATAAACAAGCTGTTAAAGACCCACTTTGGCAATCTACCATGAACAAAGAATTACAAGCTCTTAAGAAAACAAACACATGGGTCTTAACAGAGTTGCCACCTGGTAAACACACAATAGGTTGTAAATGGGTATATAAAATTAAATATAAGTCAGATGGATCAATAGAGAGATACAAAGCAAGACTAGTAGCAAAAGGCTACACACATGAGGAAGGTATAAATTATTTTGATACTTTTTCTCCTGTTGCTAAAATCACTTCAGTTAGGTTACTACTTGTTGTTGCATCCATAAAACATTGGCATGTTCATCAATTAGATGTTAATAATGCATTTTTGCATGGTGACCTCAATGAGGAAGTGTATATGACCCCACCCCCTGGATATTTATCTGCTTCTGTACCTGATTCTAGGGTTTGCAAATTGACAAAAAGTCTTTATGGCCTTAAACAAGCCTCTAGACAATGGTTTCAAAAGTTAACAACTTGTTTGCTGCATTATGGT